TCCTCCATTCTGTTCGACATTGGAGTAGTGCTACAATGTTGTCTTTGAACTCTTTTAAACAATGTCTGCACACAGTTTCTTTTGTGGGCAATTCGGTTATTGCTGTTATAGTTGAGTATTTGGTTTGCGTTCGTTGATTCTCTGTATACTTGTGTTTCTAAATTTCTAAATGACATGACAGGAAATTTCGAATTCTAAGTCAGTAATAAAAATGACGGATAGAGACGTAAATTACCAACCAATAACAACAATATTTAATTGAATTTTATATTTTCCCGTCCATTGATTCGACCGAAATGATTGGTTTAAGGTTGACATGCCAGCCCCTTGTGCAGATGTTTCGATGATGACTGGTCATGTAACCTGAAGTTAATCGGTCTGTGGTGACAAGCAGTGGAATCCAGGATAAAGGTCATTTCGTCCCATTTGGGACTCGTCAGCTAACTGGATGTACCTGCATTGCGTAGTGAGTGATGATGTTCCCACCGAGGCTCGAACCCATTTGTACAAGAAGCCGACATGTCAGCCTGAGTATCTTGAGCACTTCGGTTCAGTCAATCGACGGGAAAATCTAAAATTCAATTAAATAATTACTATAACCCGTTGCACAAGAGGTGGCTCTCGTGGCTCAGGTGGTCTTGTGGATAACGCATTGGCGTTTGAAACTATGGGCACTGGGTTTGAGCCACGGTGGGAACAGCATCACTCACTGCGGAATGCAGGCACATCCAGGACGAAATGCACATCCTAGTCACCATCCATCAATTAACTTCCAATAACAACGATGATCGCTGGTAGATACGATTATGGAGAAGTTAAATGAGTTCATTTTATACTGAGACCTCCTCTGAAACAATGTTGTCTAGAAAGGCTAGGGGTGACGAAAGCTTCACAAGTAAATCAACCAGCTCCTCAGAGAATACAACAAATGCAGTTGCCTCAAGTTTGATCATGGATTTATACTAGTTACACAACCACCGAAAAAGACAATTGAAGTACTGGACAGCCGTGTCGTCCTATCCCGAGACTCTTCACAGTATGGACCCACCAGATCCAGAACCAGAACTTAGAACATTCCCTTTACAAGGCAAGCTCATAGGCCATTTATTCAGCAGAAGCCAATCCATTGACTCATGAATCCCAATTCACATCAATTTTTGATTTTACCGCAATCACCAGTCAATGTTATCAGTGAATATTTGTCCTCACGTTCTACATGGCGGATCGCCACTGGTTACGACTTAAAATTTGAAAAAAATTATCTTGTTTCGTTTCCTGCTTTTAGAGTTGTTGAAATGAAGGCATTTTATTGAAACAATTTTCTTTGTATTTCTGATCTAAATACTTTGATTTCCCAAAAAAACGGTGGCAATGCTTTATACTACTGATTGACTGAGATGAGTAGCTGAATACCACTTGCACAAAAAAACAGTATCACTTGCTATCCAGCTAAATCGAAGTGATTTAAGCACTAAACAAAGGACTAGGCAGACTATACTAGTCACTGGCTAGAGTGCAGTCAAAGTGTCTAATACAATCTTACAGGAGGTCAGTCGTGAGCCCGAATAGCTCAGTGGTAGCGTCTCTGATGACAGGCGGCACTGGGTGACACGGGTTTGAATCTCAGAAAGGACATGAGTTCCTCTAAAGCGATTGCAGACACGCTTCGCTGATTGTTGGGCGCCAACTAGCACGAAACCTAGGTCACGCAAGGCTTCTTGTGGCCGATTGCCTCAGGCCATCTAATGCCAACAACTCACAGTGTACCGTGATGGTGAGCCACCTAATGATATGGTGGCCACATTGCAAACTTGATTGATAGAATTCAGTCTGCACCAGACAAAGGACTAGAGAGACTAAACTAGTCACTGACAAGTGTCCAATCAGAATCGATGGTATTTAAAAACACAGGTATTGTTAATGACGACTATTCTAGAATATTCTATGCATATAAATACATGTATTATTTATAATTGTAGAGCCGGAAGAGGAAATTATCGAAAATTGTGTTTTTTTGCTCAGATTTTCTTTTGTCTTCGAAATGTCTGAATGAGTATTTTACGCCATATTTTTATAATGACATTTTATTTGTCCTTCTGAAGACTATCTGATGTCATGAAGAGAGTGGATATAGTTTGATATTCAATTTAGGCGAAATCGGATGATACGCAGCGAAGAAGTGATTGACGAAGAACTGAGTAATCTCCGAAGTACTCGGATGGAATACGGTTTTCTGTCTAGGTTCCTAAATATGAATCCCAAATCAAAGAGAAATTCCGAACAGGTCCAATCCATCCCAAAGAAGATACTTCTGCCTAATCTAGAATTCAAAGTCGACATTGAATCTCAAATCCTTCACAAACGCCTCTCCAAATCTCTGAGGAAGACATACTTCACTACAAGCCTATGACTGACGTTTTCCTGCAAGATACAGTTCAGCCAGAACGCGAAAGACAAGCTATCGCATAAGGTCACTTCAGTGTGCATAAACCAGTTTACTTGCTCTTGCAGAGCTGAGTACATCAGTCCTACCATGCATCAACTTGAAAAACACGCTCGTGAACACTATCCAGCCTGGCTAGTAAAAGGAGAACGAAAACGTGTATGTGGTTCAGTGAAAGAACATCTGATCAGTTCAGAAAATTCAGCACCATTCGAAAATTCTTCAAAATAATATACAAGATTCAATCAAACCTATCAAAGGGAGTGAAATTAAGACATCTGGGCATAGCCGAGCCACTAGCTATCCAAAAGCTGAAACCCACGCTATGTATCTAAAATAAATACGTCCATCCTTGTCCCTGCCATGGCCATCATAAACAACCTAGTTGATGGCTTCATCGGAAAGAAAATTTTCTTCGCTGCAACCGTCTTTTTAATAAAACTTTTATTATATCCTCTATGGTTAATGTATCAAGCAACGTTTCACGCATTTATTTTGTTTCGTGTGTGTACGCGTGTACCTCTGTGGACCTCAGGTTCCAAGTGTGCTATAAGACTTCATCAACAAATCTCTAGTTCATTTTATTCTCGGATGTCTCTTTTGGTTGGTCCAACAATTTCCCATAAACTTTCAATTCCTTCTTATACGAGCTTTCCCATGTGATTCTCGGACCCATGCCCAACTCACTGGTACCGATTTATCTGGCTTCAAGTCGAAGAGTAGTCTTACGTGTGATATCAGGCGATGGTCTGATCAGCGTTTCTTCAATCTATCCGGATTTCTCCCATCAGCTGTTTTATTTACCAGGTGAAATAGTAGAGTAGACTTTAATGCCCATATTCCGACTGATAGTTATGTCGCTGCATTTTATCGTTTTCAGTATTATTATTACTGTCACTTATCATTAATATTATTAGTAGTAGCAGTAATAGTCACCTAAGTTTTATTATTCCTTAATTCCGTACTTTTATGAAGCTCTTCAACCGATTACCGACTGTCCTCTTCAAAGTGACCTGTTTCATCTCAGTTTTTCAGACTCCCATACCCATTTATTATCTTCCTTCCTCTAGCAATTGTGCCAACGGCTGCTGTTGTCTCCCATCGGAATCCTAAATTTTTGCTCTACGTTTGTATGCACAATCCTTCACCGTCCAAATATCTTAGCTTGTTAATTTTGCACTACTCTTAAGTTTATGAGTAGCTCATCTGAAATCAGTGAATTTTTACGGTGTTTACCTGATTATTTTACTTTCTTCACTGTACACACCCACTACCTAATGAGAGATCGAACCCAGGAGCAAATGAGGATGAAACGACTGTCCAGTTTTATCTGATTCTAAAGAAAGTTCTCTAAGCTAGTGTGTTGTATCGTAACGAAATCTACATTAAAATTAAGTGAAATCCCAACAAACTCACAATGTCTAACTATCAATCTCCAGCATATTAGCTGCCGTCAAATAAATAAATAAATAATAGTCAGCCAGTTTCTTGTCTTTACATGAAGCTTCTGGGTTCGACCTCTGAAGAACTCCAAGTGAGGACGAACTAAAGAGGGAACTCATCAAATAAAGGTTAATTCAGTGAGGAAAATTTTCTTCATCGAAGAAACCATCTTCATTTTATATTTACCAAAAATGTATAGTAGTCAGTTAGCGAATAATAGGTGGTGACATAATTGATACAGTAGCTCGGGAGTGGCTTTAGAATTAATAATAAAGGCTGCAAACCTCGTGATTCTCAAAACCACGACGGAAGAAAGCGTTAGAAATTTGATAAGGTTAAAATTGTTTGTGAATGAGAACATAGGTGGTAGTTGAGTGTCCACTTAACAGGTGTGAAGAGGGTGAGAAAATGTACAAAAGTAACTTGCGGGAGTGATAACAGTGAATTGATCAATAAAGTAGAAACAAAATAATCAATAAAAATAAAAAATGAGAAATTTACAGGGATCGACTAATGAAGAGGTATATACGAATTGCCAACTCCTCCACCATACACATATAATGCTGAAACCTGACGTACTTCGTGCCGTTTGACCTCACTTTGTAGATGATCTTGAAAGATGACTGTGGTGAAGCTTTGTGGCTTGAGCTGACCAAATGCTCGAGAATTGAGTTAGTAACTGTCTTGCATTGACCTTGTGCTAATTATACCGGATAATGTTCAGGGGTGCATTTGAAGGGTGTGCGCTTTGTTCGGCCAGTATAACTAGCACCACACAGGAACAAGTGAATTTATAAACACAAACTGAAGTGGCCGGTCCAAAGAGGCAGTAGTAGACTACTATACTTTTTTGGTAAGTATGAATACGACTGTATGGCAGCCTGTGAAGATGATTTTGTCGATAAAGAAAATTTTCCTCACTGAATTCATCAAGTCTCTTTTGACTCTTGCTGACAAATTGACTTGAAATATACTTCAACTGAATCATGAGCATTAATCACAAACTGTTGATTTCTCCTACAAGAAACCTCGTATTATTATTACCTTCATACGTTCGTTTGTTTGTCTGTTTGCTTATATGTGTGTGTTTTTTCTCCCACTTTTATTCTCACAGATAAAATGAATAAAGAGACAATGATAATTGAAAGAGAGAATTTCAAAAATTATGATCTTAATGGAGATGGGAAGCTAGATAAAGATGAAATGGCTCTATGGATTACACCAGGTCAGTAGTTGTTGAATTAATGATGATAACTTTTCTCCTTTTGTTTTCTTCATGATGTTTTTATACTACTGATTAGCTGATATAAGTAGTTGGAAACTGCTCATGTGAACCGGTAGTGCTTGTATAATGGTCTAAGGGGAATGATTAAAACACGGGAGGTCGGTTTCAATTAATTTGTTACCAAGCTTATTATCAATGATGTACTAAATGGTTTGACTAAGTCCAGAGAGTTAACTTCAGGTTGTTCAAAGTGACTTGACGTGCTGATAAAATCACTGTTCGGAATGAGCTTCTTACCTCTGATACCCATCACACGGATTGTTTTTTTCAAACTTGAGTGAATATTGACAAAATTCGCATAGGCGTAAATTACTTTCACATGTGAGACTACCATTACAAAGTGATTAACAGAGAAATAAGGTAAGTAATAGACCCATCTGATGAGTAAAACATGCTATCATTTCTTCAGGATGGTTGGCATTATTCAATAAGTTATGATAGAGTTTAACTTGGGACACCAAAATGATACTGGATAGCGTAATATGGCTGAAAAGTAGGTTTGGTTTTCTACCCTAATCAAAGCCATAGCTCTGGAAGGTAAATTTGCTCTTCCAACCCTAATTGTTATCCTAATCTCACTATAACCTAACCCTAATCTACCTCGAATCAATCCTAATATCCGCTTAACTAGGTTCACCTAACAGTCACCTCCCCCCAGCCTAAACCTAACCTAAGTCCTTCCCTAACCTAACCTAACCTTGTACTGGTCAGATATCCTGTTCAATATCATCACACCTCACTTAACAGTTTTTCCCACGAATATAATAATACCTTTATTCTGGATAGTACTTATAAAATGTACTGAATTTTCACAGGAGTTTATTCCATGACATTTTCCCTTGGTAAAATATCTTCAAGTAAAATATTAATTAATAGACAGCAGTATATCCTGTGACACACAATGGTCTCTGATCTAAAGCACAAACCATTCCATTATGATACATATATCTGCCTTGTCTCCTTCCTTCAAGAAATCCTTCCACGATGTCTAATTGAAAGCCAATTGTGAAATATTGAGAAGTACATTGTGAGACCCAAAGGCATAAGTGAAGAACAGTTATTTTGTAACGACACAACACAAGGGCCAGACAACAGATTATTTATTGAGAAAATCAAGAGATATTTATAGGTTAGAGAACCATTGAAAACCAGGGAATACTGGACAGCTGCTGTTTCATCCTAGTTTGGGAATCATCGACAGTACGCACCCACTGGGATTCGAACCCAGAACCCTCCGGTTACAAGGCAAGCTAGCTCGTATACCGTTCAGCCACTGGGACCTGATTCAATGGCTCATGAATTCTAACTTCTACCAACTGATATCAGTCCGTCATCAACTCGTAAAACATAACAAATCCTTACAAACCAAACTATAGAAAATTATTCTGATGCTCGCTAGTGACTTGCTACAGGTTGGAGCTTCCTGCAGTTCTAGTGAGAAGTCGTGACCAGTGAGGTCCAATTAGATGTCATGTGTGTGGATGGATGTCCCACCAACGACAATGGTTGGAGTCGCACTAAATCACGAATTGGTAGAAGTTAGAATTCATGAGCCATTGAATCGGATCCCAGTGGCTGAACGGTATACGAGCTAGCTTGCCTTGTAACCGGAGGGTTCTGGGTTCGAATCCCAGTGGGTGCGTGCTGCCGATGATTCCCAAACTAGGATGAAACAGCAGCTGTCCAGTATTCCCTGGTTTTCAATGGCTCTCCAACTGATATCAGTCCGTGACCAACTCGTAAAACATAACTAATCCTTACAAACCAAACTATAAAAAAAGATATTTATAGATTTTTATGTATATTATTATTCGCGTTATTGTTAGTAGGGAAGCAACGTCTTCTGATTGGTTGTTTTCTTACTGAAAGTTATTCTGTACTGCTTGTGACCATTTCTTAGAAAGTTAAGCCATAAATCTGCGAATGATATTTGCACGCCTTAAGTCTGTTGTGATTGGTTTTATGAGTTCCTCAGGGTTAAGCTTTGTTATTGTTTTTCCTCATGCCTCCGATTCAGGACGTAAAAATTGACATAAACTGCCGTCCATAATTTTGGTTTGCAGACAGCTGTCACCACAATCTCGTGTACTGGGACACGTCAACACCCACAATCACGTCATTCCTCAAGTTTAATAGGAACTTGCAAATCAGAAGCTTGTGAACACTTTCAGTGGACACAAGAGCAGAAAATACTATTAGAGATTGATTAAAACAAACCGAACGAGAGAAAATATATGCAACAGAGAGAGAGAGAGATGGAAGATTTTTGGTAGCCCAGGTTTTAAGCAGGCAGCTAACGATTATGGTGTTATTCACCTGGTTTTACTGACTTGCTTTGACTAACCGTCACAGAGTCATTGATGCATTCATGCCTTCCGGATGCTTATAGTTTGCCTTTACTCAATCCAATGTTATACATTCCACCGATATACAGGGCTATTTTTTTGATTGATTGCGGAAAAATTGTCAACTTACATCCAACTACAAAGAGCTGCTCTTCTAGCATCCAAATACTTTTAACATATTCATTTATGAATAATTCCCATTCGGACAATAGTAGACAAAAGACAAGTAGTTCAGCAAAGAGTCTCTTTTCGGCGAATTCATTTTCAAAGCTGTACAATCGCAAATATATATGGTTATTTTGTGTATGTGTGTGTGTGTATACATTAAATTTGTCAAACGAAAATACGGTTAGTAAGTTTAAATGAATTGGATGGTGATAAGAGGATTGCAACAAAAGTGATGAGTTGTCAAAAGCGATTGTTAAAGAGGAGTAAGTTCAGGTGAATTGGATGTTCATATAGGAGGATAGTAACAAAAGTGATGAGTTATCATAAATGATTGTTAAATAAGAGTTACGTAATGGCATGAATAGTTTGATGAATGAGGTGTACTCCAAGGGTGAGCATGGAAACAAAATAATATACAGAATTACACAAGGGTTTTAAGTTAGAAAAATAAGCATACAAACAGAAGTAAGGTCAAATCAAACAAACAAAGAAGAGTTGGGTCAAATCGACGGAGTTGTTACCATGCGAGTAGAAGTGGTTGGATAATTTTCTTTTGTATGCATAGTTCTGGTTCCACCAAATGGATGGCTAGGGCTTCTGCGATGCAAAGAAGACGAAATCGTACTGTCTTTGGGAGGTTGTTCTTCACTTTGTAGATCACTTTGAAGGAGGCGTTCGTTGAGATGGAATGACCAGTGTTGACGAGATGTTCGATTATTGCACTCCTTATATGGTCATTATTTCCTTTCTGTAGTCACGCTCGGTAGTGTTCTTTGACCCTTTTTGACAGGATGGCTCCACAGCAACAGGTGAACTGATATATACACATAGAAGTGGTCATGTGCGGAATCTTGTCCTTTGGGTTTCTGCAGATCAGCGGGCGACTGGAGAACATTATTCTTAGTGTTGCCGCAGGGAAAGTTCTTCCTAAAGAGGTGGAAATTCTCCTTCTGAGGACGTCACTAAGTAGGTCTCCTTTGAAGTCTAGGTTCATATAAAGTATCTTTTTCGGCACGGATGGTGTCCCTTGCTTTCGGTTTTTCTGTTTGATGTTTTTGTCTACAAATCTACAAATCATTTAATTATAACCACAATCTACTACAGAAGCAATGTATATATCGAAAACACTGATCGACTGCGTAAGATCAATTCAGTTACCATCCTTGAATCAAGTCAACCTATCCCGGATCAGCCTAGCATTGTCGCAACCCAATTATCCATTCCTAACGTGTCTATCCCCCCTTGTTTGATGAACTGTGTGTGTGTTTTTACATCGATCCGTTTAGTCAGACCGTTGAACTCATGACCCAATCAGAGTATTTTGTGAACTGTTATTTTTGCTGACCCATGTCTTACTTTGTACTATTCTGTCGAGTTTATCTTATTTATTGATCTTCATCTGTATCAGCCTACCTGGTTAAGTAGCCAATTAAATTCTATCTTTGTGCCTATGCTCTGTCTATCTCTTAACCGCTCTCTGTTCTATGTCCTGCCTTACTTGGGTTCATTCTTCTACTGACTGCTTACCTGAACGGTCGTGTCTGATTCCGGCTAGTTCGCAATTTCGGCTTTAACGTTATTCCGCTCTGATAGTGGTACCTTGCTGTCTGTTAAGCGTTGGGCTTTGTACTCTTGAAACCGTTAAGTTTTGTCGTATTTATAATTATTGATTTGTTTATTAATAGTACCGTAGAAACAGTGACCGGCTTCTTGTTTGTTCTGGACCGAGATAGCCTTTCTCTACGCGTGACTTAATTTCAAGCGATATTGCGCTTACAGACTGTATTGGCCTAGTTTGATAATCACACCACCACCCCTCCGCCATCTCCAGTATAACGCACCTGCAAATTCGTTATGAATTGTACGCACGGCTGTTGATTTCCGATACAAGACAGTTTTCCACTAATCTGTTCACACTAATGAATTGATGACCTCATATCTCGAATGCTAATTCAATACTCATATTGTCATCTTAATATTTCTTAATGCGTCTCTTGCTGAGGTTATGAATGTACCTTGCTGAAGTAGTCTGAAGTAATACAAAAAAATTTGTAGTGTTCTTTACTTTTCAATTTTATCTAATTATTGAGATGTCAGATTATGCCAAAATAAAACCTCAAATCTTTCATAGTTTAATAAACCAAATAACTGAACTTTCGCAAAGTATCTGCTTATTCAGACTACCAGAGTAAGGAGACTTAAGACAATGCGAGAATTGGCATGGCATTATGCTCCTGTCTATCTTAAGTAAAATATTAAGACGCATTATCCTGGAGAGAATCAAACAAGCCAACCTGGATGAAAAACTTCGACCGGAACAGGCTGGATTCAGGAGGAACAAGTCATGCACCGATCAAATCGCAACACTACGGATCATCAGAGAACATAACTTGAAATGGCAGTCACATCTCTCTCTACCACACCATCCTTGACTGTGAAGAGGCCTTCGACAGCGCATCGTCAATCGAAAGGTGATTTGGAAACTAATTCGCTACTACCAAGGGGTGCCGCCAACAATTATACACCTCTTCCAACAGTTGTATGAGAATGCTGCATGCCAAGAAATCCACAATGGGAAACTCACGGAATTCTTCGAAATGAAGATGGAAGTAAGACAAGGCTGGCAGGCTGGCTGCCTGGAAGATATGCAAGTAAAAAGCAACAATTTGGCAGAAGAAGCATCCAGAGAAGACATGACTTCAGGTGAACATAGAGAAAACAGAGGTGATGGAGATTCCTGGCCAACAGCAACAGCAACAGCCACAGCAACAACAGACAACAGTCAGCATAAATGGGAGAAATCTGAAAGAAGCAACCTCCATCACCAACCAATGTACCTACGAAGATTCGTTTCAGCTACAGGTGGACGGAACTGATCAGGGTATCAAAGCGAGGATCTGGGAAGCAAAGCAAGCTTTCACTACTTACGTCAAGTCTGTGTGGAGGTCAACACTCAGCACTTACCATGAAAATGAAAATAGGATCTGAATTTTCAACTCCAGTGTGAAGTCAATGCTACTCACTATGCGGACCAGAGACTTGGCACCGCGTCACGAAGGACACTTCGAACAAACTGCACACCTTCATCAACAGCTGTCTCCACTCATTACTACTCAAGATCAGATGGCCGGCCAAAAAAGATCAGCAACAGGGAGCCAAGTCTGGCAATGAACGAGCCAACCCAGCAGGAACCGACTGTGTAACAAATAGGCAGGAAGAAATGCAGTTGGTGGATTGGTCATACTCTGAGAAAACAAACCATCAAGTGACATCACACACCAGGCGACTGCTCGAGTGGAATACGAATGGGAAGCGGCGAGTTGTTCGTCAGTACAGGGGTGATATGGAAGAGGAGGTCAGGTGAAGAGGAAATGAAAGCATGCGGTCAGATGTGGAACCAGGTGAAAACGTTGGCAGAGAACCGAAGGCAATAGAGACGTGCGCGACTGAAGCCCTATGTTACTCTAGGAACTAAAAGAGACAATAATAATAGTTATTACAAGCCATTCAAAATGGATTTACCATTTATTCAACATACTACTGTTTATTTAAAAAGTAGCACAATATAAAACTCAGCGAAAGTTTCCAATTGAAGAGAGGAGTGTTAGACTACAATGATATTCCTAATTCTGGTGGAGTGAATCATGCAAAAGACCATGAAGAGATAGAAGACAAGCATATGTGTTCGGGCGAATAACAAGACCCTATAGAAGATACGGACTTCGCGGATGATTATGAAAATGAAATCATCGAAAAGATACCTTTTCTGAACTTCGTGTTCTCTTCTTTCTAACTTCTGAATAACGCGACACAAACTCGAAGATTTAGAAACGAAAAACTAACAAGTTGGCAAAAGAGTCAGACATAGAACACAGGGCTTTAAGTGGTGAATATAAAGGAGATAGAGGTGATAAAGACAAATAATCAACAACAGCAGGCATTAGTCCCTCTCTCTGTGAAGAGAATCAATTTGAACAAGGTCACTTCTTTCACTTACCTGGCTAGGCATCACCATCCCAGCTGTCAAAACCAGCCAGGATTTTAGGAGCAAGAGAAACCTTCATTAATCTGAAATTAGTGTAAAAATTTGCTGCAGTCAGAATGAAGAAGAAGACCCACAGTCTCAACAATCATTTCTAGTAAGCCTCTGCTTCTGTATGGTCCAAAGACATGGCGAGCTAGTCACATAAAGCATTTCTAACAGGCCACTGAAAAATTTCATCAACAGTTACCTTCGTTGACTCCATACTGAAGGAAAGTTGACCAGCTGTGCAGAGAGATCAAGCAAACAAGTTGAGAACTTATCCTTCATCATATGTGAAGAAGGAAATAGTGGTTGATCCACACTGAGGAGACTGTTGCGTGACATCAGGTTCCCGGCCGAAGAGAGGAACCCTAATAGAATGAAACGACTTATGACCGCGACAATGATATGGAGGAGATCCAGATAAAGATAGCTGCAAAGAAGACGTTGAAACAGAGATGTGCTGCTGAAGGCTCTATGTTCAACAAGAAATCGAAGGGAATAACAAGAAGAGGAAAAAAATTATAATGGAATTTGATTGCTCCCAAAGATAGTTCACTTGATCGCCTTGTCTGGTCACACTTTTCATACTTTTTCTAATTGTTCTAACTGACTGATAGAATTCTTTATGAACCAAAGAAAAGACTAGGTCAATCGTGGGCCCGAATAGCTCAGTGGTGATGTCCCTGACCGACTGCAGCATGGGATGATACTGGTTGGAGTCTCAGGAGGGACATGAGTTCCTTCAAGGTGGCATATAAGCCTTACTGGTGAGTGCCAACTAGCACGAAATCTAGGTTGTGTTCAAGGCTTCCTGTGGCCGATTGCATCCAACCATATAATATCATCAAATCAGTGTGCACCACGATGGCGAGCCAAGCCACTTAGTGGCATGATGGCCACATTGCAAAACCTGGCTGATAGAATTCAGTCTGCACCAAAGAGAGGAGGACTAGACACACACTACACTAGTTAGTTACTGGTGTGATCTAATCAAAATTCAAACTCTCTGTTTGTTTTTTGTCTGTTATACTTTCAAAGGTTTTGAGAAAACAGCTGCTGATGAAACTGAACATTTATTCAATCAAACTGACAAAGATAAAGATGGTGTGCTGAATAAAGAAGAAGTTCTTGAACAACAAGATCTATGGGTTGGTAGTCAAGCTACAGATTATGGTAGACACTTGGAAGAAATGCCTAAAGATGAACTTTAAATCAATTCTGTTGTTTCTTTTTTAGCTGATTAAAAAGGCCCATTAAAATTTTTCAAAAAGAATGGATACTTAACAAAGAATACTCTTTTCGATAACCTTTTCTTCTCCATCAGCCTCTACAGTTATATATACATTATAGTGAATGAATGAATTAGTCTTATGAACGACATTAATGTTTAAATAACATCAAATCAATAATATTGATAAATTACAGCTCAATGGCATCAACATAAAATAAGCTGAATGTCAGAAAAAATTAGAGAAGATAACATTACAAATTCATGAATTTATAGTCTCCCCTGAAGGCCAGGGCAGTGGTAGTGGCTGGACTTGCTTCTTTTCCACACAAAGCACTGGTTGTTTCACGCGAATTGCAATAGCCTCTGCTGTTTGGAGCATGCGGTGCTTCGATGATTTTGGCAACTTATTAGGCACCTGGTAGATGATGATGCAGAAGGATTCTTCCACGCTGGCTTTGTGGCCAGCTGGTTTGGACCAGATGGTCTAATATCGAACTGTCGATGGTTTTTACTACATCTTTACTTAGCCATACTGAGAGATGTTCTCAAGTAAACACGAAAAATCAAGTTCATAGAGCAACGGCCAATATAATTCGCTCCAACCATAAGCGCAGTTGAATTGGTAGATACCACTGGAAGTGACTAGTCTAGTCTAGGTACTTCATCTTCAGTAGAGGAATCTCCATCGGTCGTAGAGAATTTGACGTGTAGTTCGCCAGCATTAAAAGTTCTTTGAACTGATTTTCTTAATTTCTTCTTAAATATTTCTCTTGGTATATCGTCATTGAACTTCAGTCGTATATTTATAAGAGCTTGTTGTTTACGGATAGTGAGTAGTCCTTTTCCGCTTTCTTTGTCGTGTGTTTCTTGATAAATTATTTTTTTGAGCAAATAAGTTGGATGACATAAAATGAATGACTAGAAACTGAGCGTTGGTAAAGTCAGTAACAGTGGTAATCAGGTGTAGAAATTAAATCGCGTGGGGGTAGAGAACAGGAAAGTTGAAAATGTAAAATATTTCAATTGTAAAGACAAAATAATACTAATGAAGAGACAGAAGAGAAAAAAAGTAGAATTTTCCTGTCGGGTAATAAGGTGGATTACGTCCATTGCAAGTGCAGTGATTAAAGGAACTTCTTCTGTATGGAGAGTTCAGGACATAACGAGTGAATTGCCATTGCTTCTGCAGCTTGAAGAAGTCTGATTTACCAACAAGCTACACCGCAAACAAACTTCAAAGTCGTCTGTAGAATACGAAGCAGCCTTCCTAAAACTGTACGAGTCAGATTTCTCCAAACTGCTGAAGCAATGGCAATTCACTCGTTATGTCCTGAACTCTCCATACAGAAGAAGTTCCTTTAATCACTGCACTTGCAATGGACGTAATCTACCTTAATACCCAACAGGAAAATTCTACTTTTTTTCTTTTCTGTCTCTTCATTAGTATTATTTTGTCTTTTCAATTGCAATATCTTACATTTTCAACTTTCCTTTACTCTACCCCTGCCCGATTTAAATTTCTTTTTGATTTAATATAACTTTTTTCGGGCTTTATTTAAAATAAATTGCATACTGTTGTCCTCAGTTATTATTGAATTCATGATGAACTTTAGATGCCTCTGCTGTCTTACATTATAATTTTGTCGTCAGTTTAGACAGAGATGCTAAGCAAATTCGATATGCCTTCCTTGAATACACATCTGCCTTTTGACTCTGTACGGTTGTGTTGCTACTTCTCTTATAGGAAGCAGTACGCTATAACATAAAAAAGAAAATTTTCCACTGTTTCACTTACTGTAACCACTGTCACTCAAGACGCTGTTGTTTATCCTCCCCTCCCCTCTCTGTTTTCTTTCATCTTGCACGAATTACCTCATTTTCATGAAGTATATCGATGTTCTGACTGTTTCCAAGCATGCTATTTCTCAATCAGACTGTTAGAAAATGAACAGGCGTTCCACTAGAAATCGGTCAATGGTCATTTTCGAATGGTTTACTCCTCACTATGTATGTGTGTCCACACACACACGAAAATTGGTAAATAGTATAGGATGTGACGTAATCACTTGTTCACTTTTGAGGTTTGCAGTGGAGCATATTTTTGGCTTTTTCGACAGTTACAAGCTGGGCTGCATAATACGCCCTACGGATGACCGAATTCAACCTTTGTCTCAAAATCCTACTGTTTATTTCACCGTTATATGGTAATTTGATGAAAATATTTATCTTAGGGGGAGTATAGATTGTTTGTGTCCATTACAGTATAAGACACTCTTGGTGAAATATCTATTTAAGAGGATTCAACGTATTTGCACAGCTGATGTTATTTTTTTTATCCTTCACGTTCCCCAGTGGAACATAGGGCTTCAAGCTAGTGGCTTGAAGTTTCTGTAGCAGTGTTTATTTTACAGGATGGGGTTGCTAGCCGGCTCATGCCCAACCTTTCCTCTTCACTAGCATTATTTCTGGCTTAGCGAGGTAAAGGAGTGCGTTCAGTGGCCGGGGATCGAACCCCGGACCATGTGCATGGTCGGCGAGTGTCCTAACCGCTATGCCACCGACGCACAGCTGATGTTACAGAGAAAGAAAATGAAATATTGATGGATACTCTTGTTGAAAAAGGGATATCCTTTAAAATTTTTAAACAGGTGTAGAAGTCAATTAGTCTCTAAACCTACAATCTCTACCGCCTCTGAGGAAAATGCTTTCATCACATCACCATACAATAGGGAAATAAACAGTAGGATTTTGAGACAAAGGTTAAATTCGGTCATCCGTAGAACTTATCATCCAGCCCGGCTTGTAATTATCGTAAAAACCTAGAAAGTAAATGTGTGAGGGATCAGATTGTTCGAAATGTATAGCGCAAATACATCACATTTTTCCTCAGATAATCTCCGTCTTCTAAATAACACTATCCAAATTTACAAAAGGGACTAATTGTTTTAGCTTTCTGTTAAATTCACTTAGGATTACTTCGCATAGCCTGTGAATAGTATCATCATCATAAATCAAACTTGTGCCAAAAACTATGTAATGTACATATCTGTGATAATTTTTTTCAGCATGTCATTTTTGTAGGTTATTGATAAGTGATACTATTAGCAATCTTACGAAAATGAATTCTTTTGATTGGTTAATAATACCAGGAAGAAGCATTATCTACATAGAGATAGATAAACAGACAGACACACACAAAAACAAATACACACACAGAACTCTCTGATTGGCTATTCTTACATTATTGTTGTAACACGTGACCGAAATGAAATTCAGACAAGCATCACATGACTAAACAACTAGCACACATAGACAGGCTATCGCATACCATTGTTCAATCTTTATACACGAAAAATAGTAGTGATAATAGTAATAATTATTATTATATGAAGTATGATGAAGCAGTCTAGAGGACTGATTGTACATCAATCCGTGGTCATAATTAAAACTGATCTTATTTATTAGTATTATTATTTTCAATACAAGATGTGAAATGAAACTAGGGCTCAGAGGGCGGTGGCAATCATGATTAATGGACAGACATGTAACAAACAACACGTGAAGACAGTAGGATTATTAACCAATCAAAATGCTTCAACTATATAAAAAAAACGAAAAAAAGAAACAACAGGAAAGAGACTAGACAGTCTTCTTGCAAGATTTATGCCTTCTTTGGAGCGAAGGTTTGTCTCAGCGGGGCGGAGAAAAAAACACCTAGCCGGTACACTTGTCAAATTATCGTTATGATGATTATTAGACTGTTAGTTCAACAAACTGACCAATCAGAAGCCAGAGAATAATAAACTGACTTTGGTTATCGGGGAAAGAATGCGAAAAACGTAAAATCCAGGATGGTTCTGTTTAAAGAAAAAAGAAATTTTTTAAAAATTTCGTAAGTATTGCAAGATTGTTGCTTAGCTGATTTCTTTACAATCCCAGTGGAAAACAGGGCTTCAAAATTGACAAGGTGGGACTGTTAGCCTCACACCCAACATTCTCTTTTAACCGGATTTACTGTCGATTAAGAGAGGCTGAGGAGTGGAATGTCAATTGGTGATAGGATCTCAGATTACTTGTGGGGGGTGGGCGAGTATTCGACCACCGGACCACCGACAAAAAAGACAACAACAGCGTGGTCTTGTTAGATTTTGAAGAATCAGGGTTACATTCTTATCTGTAGGTGGATGTATCATTTGACTTACATGTGTGTGTGTGAAAAAGCAAATAGATTATGTTCAAGGATTAGAAAAATCTGTTCAGAAGACACGATAGAGAATGAGTTGAATTCATTACGTGAAATCCTACTGGAGAACGAGTATCCAGCAAAATTCGTGGACAAAAACATCAAGGAAAGGCGTCCGTGGCCAAAAATCGCAACTGTTCCTAGGGCAATTCCCTTCATGAACCTGGAATTATGGTGATACTGAAGCAGGAATTTTTAGAAGCCGCCTTTTTAAATGTCTGAAGAAGACATTTCAAACAGCCACCTTATGCATCACGTTCTCCAGGAGACTATTTATCCACTCCAGTCCAACGTTAAGGATAAGATACCGCTTTCGGCCACGTTAGTTGTGTGTATTTATCAGTTCAGTTACTTGTTCGTGTAGAGCAAAGTATATCGGCCTACACAACGTAAAGTCCATAAACGTATTCTGCAACATTATCCACCTAGTCTAGCTGGCTAGCTAGCTAGAGGAGAAAAAACGAATACTAGCAGCTCCATTCTTGACACACCTTGTCGTCTCTGGACATCGACCGACTTCGCATACGCCATCTGTACCTACGCCAATTGGATCATTGGCTATTCGGGATCTGAAACCGGACCTCTGCATTCAAGACCACCAAACATATTCCCTTGCCTTACCATGACCAGAGTAACGTCCTTACTATAATTTCGCTTCTTCTTATAATGTAAGTTTACTATTATTATTATTCTCATCATCCTTATTTAATTATCACTCTATTACTGCTTATTGATAG